GAGTCGATATCACAGTCGCGGGTTTATTTACATCGTCGGTATATGTTTGGTTTTATCAGGCTTGGCCGTCTTGAGACATACCGTGTATTACTAAGGGATGAGGGTCTGGAATGGAACATCGGGACACCCGAGGAAAGCATCGTCTACATTAAGGTCAATATTCACATCCAGTGTCACAACAAGCTCTGTTCCATCTTTATAATTATAGGTTCTTTTACAGACAATCACGCGTTCTTGGCTGCAGGACGCGCTAATGTCATAAGCCTAATTCATGGGTTTTTTAACTAATGATGCAACAAACAGGAAGCGGGAAGTTCCAGTCTCGCTGTACTAGCTTGACAGTTTACCAGTGGGAATAGTTTGGTTAAATTAAATATCATAAACACGGAAGAAATAAATAAACATCAAACACTAAGAGTGAGAATATACTTAGAATGAGCAAGGAATTGAAAATCACGGTCAATATGTTCATCTTTGTTGTTAGTCTGTACCCCCTTGACCGCGGATTCTCTCTCTAGTTAGCACGAGCAGCGTCTAGATGCCGCTCCACTCGGAAAAACCTAGTCAAGCCAGCACTCGTTGCACCGTTGATTACACGAGTTAATGCTTCTTTTGACATGAGAGAACATTACTCGTAAGGAGCAGTAATAGAATCGAGTACTATCAAATGTTCTTCCTTCTTTCGTTTCACATGCTATGTTTTTTCTATGTTATCATTGAGAATTTTAAAACAAAAAATAGCTGTCCATATCCAAACGAGGACCGAGCGAGGCTTATTGCATAGAAAGAGCCATAGTAAAGAATGAAACTATTTGGGACAATGTAAGATGATTGCGAGTGACTAGTGCATATAACTATGACTTTCAAAGGTCTTTTTATCTTTCTGAAACTGACATCAGAATGTCCCTGTATTTTTTTAAGGATCTTCTTCTGAGTGAACCAATTGCTGGTGGTGATCTACTGCAGGCGGGTATCGAGCGGGCGGAGGTGAAATTATGGATACTTCTAAAAAAACCTGAGAGGACAGTTTTTTTGGTCTATGAGTGCGCGTCATCTCAAAAGAACAGGGCATACTAACATTCCCATATATTCCCGCGAGAGAGCCTAATGTCCAAAAGTCGTTTAAGTATTCATTAGCGCCCCGAAGCCTTGATGTGCATCATGAACCTGCTCAGATCTTAAAACAATATTGGGGCAATCCATGATATGTCTTAGGACCTAGGGAGGACGACTGCCCCCATAGTCTCTTAATCACCAGAGCAGTGACTGGAAAGCGAAACATGCAACCAATGCCGGAAAGAAGTCTTAAGGATGATGCATGGAGATACGCAGTTTGATTTTTTAGTTAATATTTTTACTCACGTAGCTAAAAACAGAGGGTATTAGAGATTTGTTTTTGACGCTGCAAAAGGGTGGGTAGTCAACGTAATGCATAGGAATTTCCGGCCGCACCACGCAATATCACGTGAGGGCTGGCTTGAGTAGAATTTTCCCGAGGTGGGGAAGGCGCCTGGTTGACGCAGTTAGTTTAGCATACTCAGGCCCCGACCAGCCTGGGTTGTTCCCTGGCCCTAGAACGCACGATTTTATGCCATTTACACACCGAAGTCAATGTGTAAGGGGTCCATTCCCAAAAAAAATGTTTTTTTTCACTATATCAAAACAGCCCCACCCAAAAATATTTTCCACCAGCCCCCGCACTTGGCCAATGCGTAAGTTTCCGACACAGAAAGAGTTGAACATGAATATTCTTAATCAGATGACCGGACCACAACCTTAAATTAAATGAGCCTGCTTAGGCTTCAAGAGAACTTTGAGCCAGCCAAGGGATTAGAAGAAAAACGAACCATCGGAGGAAGAAATTGGGAGCTGTGGGTGTGAGGAGAAACCAGGAGAACTGGGGCAGCTATCTTGGAGTGACCGGAGTTAAGCTACAGAATGGTTAGCATACGTCACACACAACATTGGTGAAGGTTTAGTTATCATATATCAGGCTATAACTAAAGACATGATAATAATAGTTAACTTACTGGCAGGACTGGTTGATACTGATCAATTAACCAGAAACTAAATGGCCGTAAGTATCAGCCCGTATCTCGCGCTTACCTAATGGCAACTCCAACATATACGGTGCTGGTGTACCGGAGGAGAGACGCGAGATACCGGCGATAACTTGATGATGCTGCGCGAGAAAGGTCAGTGGAAACGTCGCTGTTGATATGACAGTTGTAAATGGCCTTTTGATGGAAGCAAAGCGTGGTGTAGTCGGGGAGGGTGCACAGCTGATTGCAGCAGGTGAGTGGAGGTTGAGCCGGGAGCCAGGAGTGACAGCCACCCCACACACACACAAACAACACAGACAGGGGGAAAAACAAACAAACAAACACAAAGGAGACGGCTGGAGCAGTACAGCCACCACAGCGTTACCTAATGTAACTCCACACTACGTTTTACGGTGCCGTGTACCGGAGGGGAGAGAGAGAGAGAGAGCGAGAGGAGGGGGGGGGGGAAAGAGATGTGATAAGGTTTCCTGATAAAGCTGTGGAGAGTATGTGCTGCAGGGAGGTGGATGCACAACGCACCCAGGAACGAACGATAGCTCCGGTCCTTTTTACTGTGGACTCGATGTCCTGACAGGCTGGTATTTGTGCAACCTGCACAAACACAACACTGCACCATGATTACAAATGGTGAAATACAATGTAAAACTGCCGAAAAATACCAGCTCCTTAAAACACAATCGCTCAACTCAACGCAACTACTAACTATACCCGCGGTCAGAGAGCGGAGATGTTTCCCCTTTGTTATGTAATATGACGCGTTTGACGTAGGACCTTAAAAAAAAAACCGTTTTTAAGAGCAGAGCTAAAAAATGCTCCTTTCCCTCTGAATTCCTTATGTCTCGTAAAACATATCAAATCCTACATTCACTTTTTTCATTGTTATTTTCAAGCAAGTTTAAGCATAAATGTAGAAAAAAAAACAACCTGCAAGATGCTCTTTAATATAAATATAGGGTAAAAATATGATAAGAATGTGACTTATTTCAACTATTTATACTTACATACAACTTAGAGGGTCTGTAGAAATAGAATGTGGAAACTGGCTGTCAAATTCAAATGGGAATACAGTGTGCAAACTTTACATTATAGAGTACCCTGAAAATGACAACAATACAATTATAAACTTCAAATAGATAGGTCTACTTCCATAATGAGTACCGGTACTTTTAATTTAGTTATTTTAAATATTCTTTTTTTTTAGATATATTCATCAGGACATTTTTTTTAATTCAGGACATTTATTGCAGCAGAATAGTATTGCGACCAAATCTATTTATTCCACGATTGAGTTCAAAATGGGAGAAGTCACTGCAGTTTCAAACATTAGCATTGCTGTATATGTGATAATAACGACAGAGCCATCTGTGCGACCATGTGAATCAATACCAACTTGTTGTGAAACATTTGTGTGTTTTCATTTTAATAAGGCTATAAAAGACAGATACATTTAAAACTATGACATATAATAGCACTGAAAAAATCCATAACCATCATTGACCCATTACCAGTGCAGATAACATATTCTCAGAATACTACATCTCTAAAATCTGCACTATCACATTATTTCATGTTCTACTTGACGCTGCTTCCTCCTCAAAACCAAAACTGCAGGATTGATGAATAAAAGCATTAAATGAATAGAGGCAGCAGCGCTAAAGGCATAACATGGAAGTGCAAACACAGCGGAAGCATCAGATATTGCGTTGCCATGGAAATTCTATCTTGTTAGGCGGTGACACAATTTAGAAATGTGTATTCGGTTAAGAAATATTATGTAACCGCTCCATCTCTCGACCTGTCTCTCTTTCTCCCTGTCGAAGTCTGTTAGAGCACAGATTTTTGTTTGTGTAATAAAATCCAGCCAGCCAGGTGTGTGTGTGTGTGTGTGTGTGTGTGTGTGTGTGTGTGTGTGTGTGTGTGTGTGTGTGTGTGTGTGTGTGTGTGTGTGTGTGTGTGTGTGTGTGTGTGTTCCTTCCTATAACCATGGTGACTGTATCCAGCCCATCCCCACTGCAGGGGCAGAAAGCTGTCAATCCTGCTGTAGGGTAAACCTCTCTCCTCTCTGGACTCAGTTTGGGTCACTGAAGCCTTACTCAGAGACACACAAAGAGAGTATGAAGAAATGTGGGGATGGAGGAGGAGGAGGAGGAGTGGGTTTCGACAACATAGAGAAGTGAGGATGCTGGTTGAGCAGGACAGAGGAGGCGGAGTGGGATGATAGGTGAAGTGCAAAGAGAGAGAGAGAAGAGGAGGATGAAAGAGGCGGTTGGATGAGGAGAAGAGAGAAATTCCATGCAGAGCTCAGTCTTCTCTGTTTTCCCTGACTAAGAATAGCCGCTCTTCTGGTAACCCAATGCCCCAGGACAAGACCATTTGAATAAAAGCCTCCATCACTTCACATAATGCCTGGTGTGTGTGTGTGCTCCACTGAAGGTGTGTGTGCTTGTCTTTGTTGGCATGTGACTGTGTGTAAAAGTGTATTTTGAAGGCAGATACTCAGGGAATTTAATCAGAGTAATAAGAGAGACAAATGGGAAATGAGAGTGAGACAGGGAGTGGGCTAATTGATGGTGATGATAATAGGCTGGTGGAGAAAGGGGGGGCAAAGACAATAGTTTAACTTCATTGTGTCCGTGTGCTCTGCCTGCTTCATGTAAGGCCTTCTGAACTTTATATGGACGAATCTGGGCAAGAAGAGAGCGTGAAAAGCAAATGTAGTGGAAAGCCATGTTTCCATATGTGTGTGCCATTTGACTGATGAGCTGCAGCTCAAAGGAGCGACCCAAACATCCTGTGCTTTAAAGTGAGACTGTTGCCACAACTGAGGGGTGATTTTGTAGATGTGTTAGGTGTCAGGGTGACAGATATAAACTGTTATTCTATTTATTTTCAGCACTACTTCCTTATCGTGTTCGGTCACGATGGACAGAAGCCTCTGGAGCTGCGAACAGAGGAGGAGAGTGAGTGCGATGAATGGGTGGAAGCCATCCAGCAGGCAAGGTATGCACGTAGTATTGAATAAAATAAATGTGTGTGCTTGTTTTTTACAGCAGGTCATTTGACATTAGACTGGTTTCTGTGACAGAACATTAAGATTAGAGAGCATTCATTAGGCAATGCTGTTTTTTTTAAATATACAGAACCATGTATAATCAGTAAAAAGCTGGTTGTGTTCCAAAAAAATGTTTTTGGCTTTGTTTCCAGACTAATATCAGGAATTGAGTTGCTGACTAAATCAAACTAGATTAGGTGTATTTTCATCCATTTGTTTTTTGGGCATTTTCAATTTCCGAGAGGAAATTAAAAACCATATTACGGCAAAAGTGCAATTTAAAACAGACCCAGTCACACAGGGCTTTCTCACATAGAAAATATGTTCATAGTGCTTTAAAGATTTAAAGCTTCCCTCAGGACGGATTAACTGAATAACCTTCATAAATAGTTTCTATACAGTTTTTAGAAACATTCAATGTTTTCTACCATAACACACATGGGAGCAGAAGCAACAAATGTCATTATTTTGTGAAGGCTGCTACTCAGTCATGTTTATAATATAAGTGCCTCATATAACTGATACCTCTGGAAATACTTATTTTACTTCATGCCTTTATTTTCAGTTACTCTGACATCATCATTGAAAGAGAGGTGCTGATGCAGAAATACATCCACCTTGTACAGATAGTGGAAACGGAGAAGGTCGCCGCCAATCAGCTGCGCACCCAGCTGGAAGATCAGGACACAGAAATCGAGAGGCTCAAATCAGAGGTACGGCAAACACGTGCACACACAAACACCTGAATCTGGACCGTCCGGTGCAGTGCCACTGTTTCCTCTAACTGGCCTCATGCAATTCCAACAACTAGCAATTGCAGATACAGTTGCTCTATGATTGTGGGACTGTGCCCCCAAACCTTAGGTTCTTTGACATTTTTGAGTGCCGTTAGTCTACTTCCTTAACAGCAGGTCAGTGGTCCGCTGAGCAGCGACTCTCACTCTTTGAGGGCATACAATTCAATTAGCAATAGCCAAGGTGTTTGTCCAATTGCCTAAAACCATTGCTTCTTCCATGGAGTTTTTCAAATGACGGGTTAAAATGAGGTTTAGGTTGTATATTGGACAGACATTCACTCAGGATGCAGTGGCGTCTTCTTCCTCGATTTCACAGATTACAGACCACAGTCAGGGTTTCACTTAGGGACAATCAATAAAACATTTTTGAATGACAGAAAACTAATCGTTATATATATTTACATTATTATTTATTCAAAAGGTCTCTTTTTTCCAATAGCTTCCATGTCATTTGACTCAGTGAGACCAAATACATGCAGAATTGTATTACTACAAGAGCAGGACAGATCAGTGCTTCCTGTGTGAATATACGAGACATAGCTATATTCATATAGAATCTAAAATGAACTAAACTTTGCTATGATTGTAATGTATATCCCTATGGGTATGCTGTGAGCGTGTGTCTTTTCACAGCTGTTTTTATGGCAGCGAAGGAGTGGGTGGGAATGGTGCTCACTCACCTCTGAGTGTAGGAGGAAAAGCCCACCGCTCAATAAAAGAAGCCCATCAGTTTCCTTACAAACAGCTGCCAAATCCTTACAGTATGCTTATCGAACGTAACACGTTTCTCTTCTGCCGCCACAGCACGCTAAATCAGTCGTGCATGCTTACAACAACAACAGACCCCTACACCATTGTTAATCAGAACTGATAAAAACTCACTGTCTAAAACACATACACGCAGCATCGGTTTATGGTAATTCAATCAATAGTTCTTATCGTTTATGAAGTAAACAGGGATTGAGCTCACTTTGGATGCTGACATCCCCGTCGGTTATTTGATACTTTTGTTTCACATTCTGTATTTACAAACAGCTAATTTGATGTCATTCAAAGGAGTGGAACACAGATTTTAGAATAAGTGCATTATTAAGGTTTATCAATTGAACATAATTGTAAGGAAAATGATTCAGACAGTTTAGACCTGTAGAATAAAGCTCTACCATTGTTTTTTATGATTGAATGCTAATCTGATATTTGCTTTGATTTTCCATATCATTAAGCGCCTCAGATAAGAAGTGGTTCTCTTTTGTGCCACATGTATGGCCAGAGGGCACTGCAGACTATTCCTATTGTAAAGGTGAAAATTGAATTCTGGTCTGTTCCTGCCTGAGGGGAAGCTCTTTGGATATTGCACCCTCTGCTAACATATAAATCACATCTCCATCATCCTTTTCCATGATGTTTCGGCTCATCTGTGTTAACTATGTCTTATATAAATATGTTGCCCATATTGTTTTGGGGGGAAGAAATACCACTATGATTTAACGGACTACTGGATGTTCCTGTTACACTGCTTTTAGTAATAATTCCCCCTGTAGAGCAACAAGTAGATGCTTGTATTCGCTATACGCTCTGATTATATCTCACTGGCTGTATACAGTAAGCCCTGATGATAATGAAAATGCTAACGAAAAAGAAACATTAAGAAACATCTGCCTGTGTAATTGGGCTGCTCATGAAAAAGGGATTAGACTTTGAGAGCCAGTGAGCAGTTGGTGATCCATCTCATTAAAAAAATACTCTTGTTTGTTTGTTTATTTGAGTGTTGCTCCGTGTTTATGAATAATTTAACCAACTATCCACTGTAACTGTCAACAGTTGGCAGACTGGCTCCTCTCTTCTGCCATTTGCATGATAGCGCCGGTGATTTAGAAAATAAAGAGGAAACTGTGTGGCTTGAAATGACTTTGGTTTCCTCTTCATGCTTTTCAGCATCTGTGATAAACGTATGTGCTCAAGAGGCCTGGAGGTAAAACCAAACAGGTGGAGGTAATAGTACTAGAGACAGTCTGAACCTCTGCTGGCTTCATTTCTTTTGAAGAAAGTGTTGCCAAGAAAAACCTTTTACAAGCTATGTTTGAAGTTAGTCATCACTGTTATTTAAAGAGACTTGGTTCTAGCTACGTTTACTATGTGAAATGAGATTTTTTTTCCCCCAGCTTAGTAACATTTAGAGTCTGGCATCTGCTTGATGTGTTCCCAGATTTCATACCTGGAAGACGATATTAACTGTGTGGCAGGAAGCTGTTTTTTCACACCTGCACAGAGTAAATGTCACATTTCTAAAGGCTAATCTGACGTCAATGCCTGAAGAGGTTGGCTGTGAAAATGATACAAGAACTCTTTGGGGTCTTTAAAGACATTATGGTTTCCATCGATTGGTTTGTGCTAGACATATTTTCATCAGCAGAAGATTATACTTCATAGTCAGTAAATTGCGCTGCAGGTCATCAGGCACATTGAAGCCTTCATTTGCTTACTGTCACCAGCTGATAGCAGCCCCCCCCCTCCCTCTGAAGTCATTCTCTCTTTCTGAATGAAGGCTGTAGAGTGTCAAAGATGAGGAAGTCTGATGTCAATCTGGTGCAAACACAGTGACTGTTCACTCAGCACACAATGCATGCCTTATATCACATATTCAGTTTTTAGCCAAACAAATCTAATTCCCTTTAGGAAAATAATAATATTATCCTTGTGAATTAAATCGAATCACTTCCTGCTATACCTTAGAAGACCATTTTAGGTTTACAGTAATTTTATGTGTATTTTGTGTTGCTATTTAGTCACCCAAATTATACTCATTATGTTTGTGACTGAATTTCTCTTTAAAGATTGTAGCTCTGAACAAAACTAAGGAGCGAATGCGGCCTTACCATGTCAACCAAGAAAATGAAGATCCCGATATCAAAAAGATCAAAAAGGTAAAAGTGTTTCTACTTTATTTCGTGTTGTTTGTGTGTGAACATGCAGATGTATGCTCCATGTGTATGACTATGTCTAAGCTTCCATGTTTGTTCTTCTTCAGGTGCAGAGTTTCATGCGGGGCTGGCTCTGTCGCAGGAAGTGGAAGATCATCGTTCAGGACTACATCTGCTCTCCTCACGCTGAGAGCATGAGGAAGAGGAACCAGATTGTCTTCAACATGGTGGAGGCAGAGACAGAGTATGTATATTTAAATGTACTTAGAGTAGCAGCACATAGAAAAGTTGTTTTCAAGCTTTCCAATATAGTACTAAACATGCCATAACGAACATTCTCATCTATTTTTATAAAGTGTATAGCACAATATATACTGTGTATTAATAGCTAATGTTTTATACATACACTGAGATCACTACCAAACTATGAGACCCTGACTCGATACCATTGGCAAAACATGTTAAAATTATCTTCTGTTGCATAGCTCAAATTAAAATATGCTTTCACCAAATAAAAAAACAAAAAACATTAGTAATTAGTTTGAACACAAATCGCACACAGGGAGTGGCATTGAAGAATTCAAGGATCATTTATTGTAAGTCTGCAGCACAGGGTTTCACAATGAAATGCACTTATGCTATGCTATGAAAAACTTTCATTTGAATTTGCATCATTATTTATCATTCAATCGTCAGATATAACAAATTACAACATTCAGAAAATATAGTAATCAAACTTTAAGACACCGTAACAAAACAAAGCTATAACACTGTCCTCTTTTAAAAATATTTGGTCATATACTGTTAATGTTTTTAAGCTAATTCAGTTAATGTTTTTAAGCTATTGCTGTATCATCTGCGATCTCCCTGTTTAAGTCTAAACCCTGTGTGTGTGTGTGTGTGTGTGTGTGTGTGTGTGTGTGTGTGTGTGTGTGTGTGTGTGTGTGTGTGTGTGTGTGTGTTAGGTATGTCCACCAGCTGTACATCCTGGTCAACTGTTTCCTCAGACCTCTGAGGATGGCTGCTAGCTCCAAGAAGCCCCCCATCAACCACGACGATGTGAGCAGCATCTTCCTCAACAGGTGTGAAGATGTTCTGTCCATCTTTGCTTATAACCGAGTCACTGAAGTGCTAATCATGATGGGTGCATGCATAGACAGATATTGAGGAATATTAAGTCAAACAAACAATAAAGTACTTTTAGTCATTTTGTTTTCCACACTGCGTTCACACTTTTTTTTCAGTGAGACCATCATGTTCCTACATGAGATTTTCCATCAAGGCTTGAAGGCGAGGATAGCCAACTGGCCAACTCTAGTGTTGGGTAAGCTGTTACTGCTACACAAAACACACAAACACACACTGTCTGCAGCCACATCAAGGTCAGGTTTTCAGTGATCCAGTTTGTCTCACTCAAACATCAGTCTTGACGTCTTACTGCTCCATTCACACACATACACACACATGCTCATTTCCCTATCTTTGTCTGCAACAAGCGCACTCATTGTCTTGACACACAATGACCACCCTGACCAGAGGGAATGTCACAAATTCACCTCCTAAAACCAGAAGCCTACTCACCAGATAAGTGTCACCTAGGAGACAGACTGTTGAAAGACACAACAGCAATTCAAAAATAAAAGGGAGGACTGATTAAACACCCTTATCTGTTGCTCTGCTTCAAGCTGACTCAGAATTGAGATTTACAATGTGATATTCATCAAATCCATGTATGTAGTTTCAATACAGATTGATTGATTGATTTGATAATATTGTTTTAATGTTATAGCCTCCAATACAGCATGCTTTAACCCCGGACAGATCATGGTCAAATTAATAGAAACATTTATCTGTGACTGATATCATGAAGGATTTTGTTTGCCTTTTGTCTATGATTATTATTCTTTGTTTCCCTGTGAGAGCACATCCAGTGAAAAGCCCAGTATCCAACAACTTGTTTCTGTGCAGTTGATCAGGAAATATATAATTACTGTGCTTCATCCAGTGCTGTTATCAGAATGTCACATAAAGAATACTATATCTATTATATTAGTAGACATGTGTCAAGACATGGATCAGGCTTTTTCAAACAGCTGTTTGTTGTCCAAGAAAGAGGAAACATTTCTTGAGGCAATATTTTTCAGATTTTGGTTTAAGGGAGTCAGTTTCCCAGCTACACATGTGTAAAGCTGAAATATTGAAATATCTCTCCTGATTTCTGTCTAACATAACCTTGACCACACCTCTTTCCCCCTTTGTAGTTTGCTAAACATTTTGTGGCTAGACTTGAGAGAATGTATATGAAATTGTATTTCTGTGTGCACAGCAGTGCATACAGCTAAGCACACTTTCCATTTAAATTTGAAGATAGGAGTTGACATTTGCACTTGTGAAAACTGTGAAAACCCTATTGGTCAATGAGAAACAGTAACAATTTTGACCAGTTATTTTCAAATTTAAAACCAAAACTATCTGTCATTATTTCTGTCATAACCAGGGAAAGAACTATATTAAGTATATTCAATCTAAAAGAATAAAATGCTTAAAGTAATTATCTCAAGTCATATCTATTAAGGCACTGTGTATCGCTATGTGAGGCAACACAATGTTGATTTGTGTGTTGGGACATTCACTGGAGAAATCTCAAGCTGCGCATTGTTAGAAACTGTTTTGCCATCACCCAGCAGCGGCTGGTCTTCAACAGTGCCAAACAGTCATTTAACAGTTAGTTGTATTAACAGCATGTTATCTTAAAATTGAAATTCCACTTAATCTCAAATCAATGTGACGTTAATGGAGTAGATAATAAGACTTGTGTCAATATTTGATCAAGCAAAAGGCCCAGAATAAACATTGCAATTAAACTGATATGGAAATGCTGGGAGCTGCATTCCTTCATGTGACTTACATACTGTTCATACAGTGAATACATGTATTTTTGTTTTAGCTGACCTTTTTGACATCCTACTGCCCATGCTGAACATCTACCAGGAGTTTGTACGTAACCATCAGTACAGCCTGCAGGTTTTGGCCAACTGTAAGCAGAACAGAGACTTCGACAAGCTGCTGAAACAGTATGAGTCTAACGCCGCCTGTGAGGGAAGGATGCTCGAGACCTTCCTCACGTACCCCATGTTCCAAGTAAATACCTTCACCATTACACTTACACTGTCATAAACACACCATAACACCAATGCTTTTTTATCTCTACATTGCCACCATATAAGATTTTTTTTTTTAAAGAAAATTCACACTTTAAACAGCCTTTTTTTCTGCATTGCTCTTCTCTCCTACAAGATTCCTCGATACATCATCACCTTGCATGAGTTATTAGCACACACGCCTCATGAGCATGTGGAGCGCAAGAGTCTTGAATTCGCCAAGTCCAAATTAGAGGACCTGTCCAGGTATGTGTCTGGGGAGTTGTCGGATTTATAAACAAATATATCTCGACACATTTTGATACTGAACACTGAACTAACTGTCATGTTTGTATGTGCCCAGAGTGATGCATGATGAGGTGAGTGACACAGAAAACATCCGGAAGAACCTGGCCATAGAGCGGATGATAGTGGAGGGCTGTGACATCCTATTGGATACCAGCCAGACCTTTGTCAGGCAGGGTAAGTCTTCATCGGGTCACAGCACAGCTCAGGAGGTTTTCCCTACCATAAGACCCTCCAACCTGACAGCCTGTGATCTGAAACACACAGACACAGCACCTAGCTCCGTCACTGAATCATGACATTAGCCACCATAATACTTTGTACTGTGGGAGATGTGGCTCTATGTGAGAATACTTTTATGTAAGAACCATTATCTACCAAATGTTTCCCTAGCTGTAAAAACAGAATGTTGTACTCATTTAGTTGAATCACATTTCAAGTTATTTTTTTGCAGTTTCCTAAATGAAACTGTCAGATTAAACCAATTACCCTTTTCAAAATGAAATACGGTTAAGCATTTGTACTATCTTCCCTTTCAGTGCACTTATTGTAAATTGCTCTAGGCAAAAGTGTATGTCAAATTGTTATGTTGTAGATGTAAAGCCTCTACAAATTCTTATTCTCCTGCCATGGAGATACACGAATCGCCTGTGAATAATCATGCATGTTTAAGTGTTAGCGTGGTGGCAGAACCTACAGCCTGTCCAAGCTAACAAAACAAAATATTTCTTGGTCACTATCTCAAATGTACTCCATAAATTGTACTGTGTTAATTAGCAATTACTTCTTGCAGCAAGTGGTTGGAGTGACAGTCCAATGATGGCACTGGTCCAAGAACTGCAAAATCGTTATATTGTTTATGTGCTCTTAAGAACAGCACTGAACTCTATCTGCACCAGCGCTCATTAGTGTGCGCTCACAGTGTGCAAACCCTAATGAGCTACTGTATCTGGGCTCTTGATTTGACAAGGTCACTCATGCATGAAGTGTTGACATCAGATATGACACTGCATGTCTTCCCTTGTTTCAATGCTTCTACTGAAGATAGTTTGTGCTGCTGAATGTGCACATTGTAATGATCTCCTTCATATTGTGTCCTTATATCTCAGGTTAATAATCTCACATTACATTTCAGTGTGCAGAATATAGTAGATCAGAAATTTTACTTTTTTTTTTGCTTTAGATGGTTCGCAGACACACAGTTTGAGCTTAGTTTCAGCATAATAAAGTGCTGTGCCCCTCCCTCCTCAGGCTCTCTGATCCAGCTGCCATCGGTGGAGCGAGGGAAGCTTAGTAAGGTCCGTCTGGGCTCGCTCTCTCTGAAGAAGGAAGGGGAGCGGCAGTGCTTCCTTTTCACCAAACACTTCCTTGTCTGCACTCGCAGCTCTGGAGGAAAACTGCACCTTCTCAAGGTGAGAACACTTTCACCTCAGGAGCTGAAGTGGATCTCAGTGTGGAAACCTTTAATTGGTTGCCACCTCTAACCAAAATAAACGGTTCTTGCAGCAAGGTGGAGTTTTGTCCCTGATTGACTGCACACTCATAGAGGAACCAGATGCCAGCGACGAGGAGTGTAAGTTTACCACATCTATGAAGCACGGCGTCTACGTTAGTGCACACAACCAGGCAGCTCTTAATGGCTCATTTAGGCCCTTCACCCCTCATGGGGGTTAATTAGGTGTCAGATGATAAGTGTCCAGAAATTACTTCCTTTTAAATATCAGATCACCACCCCTTTAAATGTCAGGTTTTAATCTTTTGACATTGATTTGCATTATTTTTTTTCTTCTTCTGAGGTTTCATTTAGCAAATAGTGATATTGATGAAACACCTACACAGATACACATAGGGCTGAAACAAGCCTCAGGGGTGCGTAGAATGGAGATTGCAGGTTCACTTAATTAACCCTGTGTGTGTGTGTGTGTGTGTGTGTGTGTGTGTGTGTGTGTGTGTGTGTGTGTGTTTGCATGCAGAAACATCTATTTTACTATCATTAAGAGGATTGCTGTGTTTCTTAAAAAAAAGCTCTTTCTTTTCCCTACATCACATAGCTAAAGCTGGCGGTCAGGTATTTGGTCAGCTGGACTTTAAGCTTGTGATGGAGCCATCAGACGCACCTTCATTCACCGTGGTGTTACTGGCACCATCGCGACAGGAGAAGGCGGCATGGACCAGTGATATTAGCCAGGTAACACACAAAGTCACACTTATACACACACACACACACACACACACACACACACACACACACACACACACACACACACACACACACACAAACACGGAATAACAAGAACCTCCAAATAGCGAGAGGGTGTCTCTGTGGGCATTGAGAACGCTTAGTGATAAGTAAACACAGACCAGGGTGCAGCTCCCCATGGGGAGACTTCAGCTTACTGCCTCGGTACTTCACAGAGTAGCAACATGTCAGCCTGGATTCATTCTTATTATCAGACAAAAAATACATTGACACTTGCATAGGGCTTCTTTTCCCCCTCAAACTCTTATTAACCAGACTTTCAAAACATCTTTCTAGCATTTGTTTGTATTCATTTGGAGCTACTGTAACATATATACAATCTAGTAGATCAAGGTAAATCTAAAGGGCATGGCCTTTTATATACTGTTGGTCCAACAAACCCTCTCCTACTGTCTTTCTTTTACTTTAATCCTTAATGTATCATTCTCTTCTCTCTGTCCCTGCAGTGTATAGATAATATCCGCTGTAATGGCTTGATGACCAGTGTATTTGAGGAGAACTCTAAAGTCACTGTGCCTCATATGATCAAGTAAGTATTATTGTGTGTGTAAAGAGGAACACCCATCTCTATATGCCAGTGTTGTAAAACATATGATGTAGCATTCCTGGATGAAACTGTATCAGCTGTGGTACGTGTACAGTATGTTGTTAGGCTGTACTTCTTTATGCTTCTTTATATTTATACATGCTCAAAAATATTATTTGGTATCCATTCTCTATTTTAGCTTTCTTTTGTGGAATACATTTATTTTATTTTATCCATTCCTATTTTACTTGGCTGTTTTTGCTTAGTGACTTTCTTTTCTTAGCAGCACAGCAGTCACCCATGCTCGGTTGTGTGTGTATGTGTGTACGTGTGTATCCATCAGATCCGATGTGCGTCTCCATAAAGATGATGTTGACATTTGCTTCAGCAAGACGCTCAACTCCTGCAAGGTACCCCAGATCCGCTACGCCAGCGTGGAGCGACTGCTGGAGAGGCTGACCGACCTGCGCTTCCTCTCCATAGACTTCCTCAACACCTTCCTGCACACATACAGGATCTTCACCACGGCAACGGTCGTCATGGACAAACTGGCCGACATCTACAAAAAGCCCTTCTCCTCCATACCTATCAGGTCAATCAATGCAAACACATCAATGTGCATTCATGAATACAGAAAAAGAGTCGTACACTTGTTGTTTTTCTGTATCCCTCTGTAATTTTGGCTATTTGAGAGTATGGAATATGCAAAGGTACATTTGCATTACATGCTCTGGGCCTTTTTTTCCTTTTAAAATTATATGAAGTCAGATGTGGTTAGTGCGTTGAACTCTTTCCACAAGGTTAAGAACATACTGGCTGAAACAAACACCAGCCTGTGTGTGGAGACCAGCAGAGCAGATGCTTCATCAACGTTTTTGGCTCAGCCGTGGGAATATTCTGTGTATTAAATGGGGAGTTTTTCTCTCTCTAACTCTTGCTCCACTTTCTTCATGCTCTTACTCTCTTATGAGGTCTCTGGCTGCTGCAGAATTTAGTGTTTATATTCCTTCCTTGATTTTATTTAACTTTTAAATTGGAAAAGCTGTTCCTCTGCCCAAGGGCAGGTTTGTATTTAAGGTCTAACTCACCATGGCCTGTGGCTGCCTTCCCTGGAAGAGACCTGAAGGACTCATCCAGAGACCAGAGGTGTGCAGGGAGGGTAGTGGGGGTGTGTGGGCCAAGTCCCCTTTCCTAAAGCTTTACTTTAGCAGGATATGGATAATGTCTCCCTAATGTAATTTGAGGTGGGCACATGAGCAGCAAAAAGTATCCCTCTGGTAAAACCTTTAATGCAATTCTTTCCTCCATCCAGCACCAGTATTATAGGAGGTTTATTATCAGACTTCCACAGTTTGTTTCTCCAATATACTATTTACGATTATTTTGTACTTTTTTGTTTTTATTTTGGTGTTGTTTGGCTATGCTGGCTTTACATTGTTCAGTCAGCCCAACTCTTTAGTCCAGACTGAAATATGTACAGTGGGGCAAAAAAGTATTTAGTCAGCCACCAATTGTGCAAGTTCTCCCACTTAAAAAGATGAGAGAGGCCTGTCATTTTCATCCTAGGTACACTTCAACTATGAGAGAAAGGATGGGGGGAAAGAATCCAGGAAATCACATTGTAGGATTTTTAATGAATTAATTGGTAAATTCCTCTGTAAAATAAGTATTTGGTCACCTACAAACAAACAAGATTTCTGGTCCTCACAGACCTGTAACTTCTTCTTTAAGAGCCTCCTCTGTCCTCCACTTGTTAACTGTATTAATGGCACCTGTTTGAACTCGTTATCAGTATAAAAGACACCTGTCCACAACCTCAAACAGTCACACTCCAAACTCCACTATGGCCAAGACCAAAGAGCTGTCAAAGAACTTTTGTTATTGACCAAATACTTATTTTCCACCATAATTTGCAAATAAATTCTTTAAAAATCAGACAATGTGATATTCTGGATTTTCTTTTCTCATTCTGTCTCTCATAGTTGAGGTATACCTAGGATGAAAATTATAGGCCTCTCTCATCTTTTTAAGTGAGAGAACTTGCAAAATTGGTGGCTGACTAAATACTTTTTTGCCCCACTGTATCTCAAAAACTAATGAATGGACTACCATTAAAGTGTATGAAGACATGAATGTTATCCACAGGACACATTCTATAGACTACCGATGTCAGTCATAATTTGTGTTTAGCGCTAACTAGCAAACGTTAGCATACATTATACATAATAAACATCAACTTATCAGGTTGATATGAGCATGTACTGAACCTTTAAGCACTGCTTGGTTCAAGTACAGCCTCACAGAGCCACTAGCATGGCTGTAGACCCTTAGTCTTGTTTTACATTTGTGAATTTATTTTTAAACATTCATTCAATATTACAGAATATAGCTATTTTACAACTTGTATCAAATGTACTGCACTTTATGTTGCATTCATTAATTGTCCTTGTCTTAATAATTGTTTTTGATTGAATGCAATGTTCAATCTTTTACAAATGATTAGAGTGAAACTTTGGGAACTCTTTCAAAGTTGGTCTCCCTTTGGTGCCCCCTTGTTTTTAGATAAGGGCCCAAATCTATTTATGCCCCTTCCTGGTCTAGAGACTCTTTGCTTGCCACTGTTATGGACACACACATAAACACATACAAATCCTACAAATGCAAACCAAAGACCTTCACCCAGCTCTCTGTTTCTATTTCACACTGGATTTTTGCTCCCATGTGTTTTATATCTGGGAGACTAAACATGTGCTGCTGTTCCTCAGTCACACTGTGCCCCCCCCCCCTTAAACACACCTTTCCTCTTCCAAGACATTCATATATCACCTTCATCTACCTTCCATCATCTTCCCACAAACCATCTCGTCACATCTACTGCTTATACATTTTCATTTGTCAATTCAACCATTACCCTATCCATTTAATCATTTTACTGTTTCATCCATACCCCGTCTCTTCATGTCCCCTCTAACTACAGGGCGCAGTACCACTCATATGACCGTCTGTCTATCTCATCCATCTGTCCTGACTACAGTCTGAAGATCAAGAAGATAACCATGGATCAGTCCAAGTAACCTACTCTCTGTCCTCCTTTTTTCTGTCTTTTTCCAACGTTTCCTGCCTGCTGTTCTTCTCCTCTGGTCTTGGTCTGAAACTTTACTGATGCATGACTTTTCCCTTTACAATTTTATCTACTGGCTATCTCTCTTTTTCTACCAGTTTGAAAAATTGCAGGGGTTTTATTTCGTAAGACAGGAATGGGAGAAGGGAAATGTTTCGTAGATTCTGCAGCCGGTCTGTAGCATGTTCTCTCACTGGAGAATCACTTCCTCAAGGCTGTTTTTTTACTCTGTATTCATATTGATCCCTTTTGACATTCATCTTTAGCATGCTTTATATCCTTTTCTTAAGCATTTCCCGCTACCTGCTTCAAAGTTCTCCAGCAATCTTTTGCTCTGATTTTTTGGTATTTTCCTCGATATGCCTTTCATTTCTCCCTCTCTTCTTTCAAACTGGGATGCAATTTGTTCCTCTATTTCCTGCTGAATATCTGGCTTTTGTGAATAAATGATGGATGTGTTTATCTATGCATGATTACTCCTCCCTTAATGTAGCTCAGTACACACGACTTTCTGAGCAGTGTTAATGTCATCACAAAGTGCTTGTTATTCAAAAGCTTTTGCACTTTCATTGCCTGGTAAATAATGTGTTTAAATGTTGCGAATGTTATCTGAAATTAAAGATTGATGTTTTTCTTATTAGAATTTAGAAAGCTGACTAAATTGTTCCTCGCTTAAGCCCCTGTCACACTGTCCCGAAATTGACACCAGATGGACACACGCATATGAAATTGTGAATTTCGCACGAAGATGGCCCCAAACTTGGTCAACAGCCAAACAAGTACGATGCCTACAGAAGGCCACACGATGGCACCCGAACCACACACGAAAATATGGTCGTAGACTTTACTGATGGTTTAGAATGTATCCAGACTCAACGTAAGAGCTTATACCTCTTCGGGGAGTGCTAACATTTAAACATAGACTTTATTCGATAAGAAGATATTACTTATCTCCGTCATGTTGTTTCCATAGCAACAACAACTTCCTGTCAACAGCGTAAACTCGCCTTCAAAATAAAAGCATCTAAATAAAACAGGAAGTTAACCTAAATTACATTTAAGACATAGAACTGCAAAATAAGTAACAAAAAGAATGTAATATCCTTTTCAGTTTCACAGAACACAAATTGGGTTGATGATTTTGTTGTTTCTCGATGTCATCGTACTATAATACGATGACTACACGACGGCATTGCGAGGGCTTCACATAGTCGTGTTACCTTCCAATGACAATCGGGCGGCTTCTTGTTTCCTTCGTATTGTCTTCGTGAGGCGAAAAATGCCCGATGGCACCGATGATCACACGAAGATGACAAGATTTAACAAGATGCCCTGACGATGGCCTAACGAAGGGCAAAATGGACACACAAATTCAACACGAAAATGAACCTTCGCAAGGTCCTTCGTCAATTTTTTGGCATGCCAAAGATTTTGCAACCGCTCACGAAGTTGCTACCAGAGCCTGAGAAACTCCACCGGCGGTCATAAGATGGCTTAAGATGCCCTCACGAATGGCCCGATGTTGTTATGATCAGAGCCGAATTTGAACATTTCCTTTATCGTGTGTCCATCTGGTGTCAATTTCGGGACAGTGTGAAAGGGGCTTTAGGCACTTAATCGGGAACAAAGATCACAGTCAGCAACATTCCGATTTAAGGATTTTTGAGGGGGTTCAGACACAGCTTGATTTATGAACCCCCCCTTGACTTGGTTACTTGAACCCATTTTATATATATTATAGTCCCACAATTTTAGGACTGGAGTATTTAAGAGTTTTCCCATTTAAATACTGCTCAGAATCACAGTGAGAGCAGTCAGAGTGAACTAAAACAGTACAAATAAGGTCATAGAAAAGCTGATGGAAGCTCCATAGAGCAGAGGGTAACGGCATAATCTGGTAATTATTTTCTGCGGGTTCTTCACTACGAACTAACCGGTTTACATTTCATAATGTCATTTTATCCTTTGAATCTGTAGAGATAATGATTAAGTTCATGTCACTTTTCCCAATTACCTCCTGTTCTTAAATCCCTACACTGTTCATCTGAGGTGAATATAAATACCCCTTAATTCAAACTCAAAGTTTGCTGGAGTAGACACAACATAATAATATATTTTCTGCTGTTCTTATATTGTGTAACATTACAAGCTTAGATGTCCCCAGTGTGCCTTGAGGCACTGTCTTTTACTTCTTCTACTTCTTTTTGAACTCTGAATACACAATCATTTGACCCTAAATCAGATACATTGTATGTATATAATGCAAGAAAACTGACAATTAGTTTCGCTATTGAACAGTAAAGGTTCACAGACATGGAAGTAATTTTGTTGAGCTCCAGCAATTACACAATTCTTGTAATTCTTTTTAAAATATCTGCTTATCTTGTTTCCCCTTCCAGGTCCTTGGAGCTGTTCTTTGCCACCAACCAGAACAACAGAGGGGGCGAGCACATGAACGACAAATCTCCTCGTCTCTGCCGCAAGTTTTCCTCTCCCCCTCCTTTGTCCATCCCGTCCCGCACTTCCTCCCCTGTCCGAACACGAAAGCTCTCCCTCCACTCCCCCATCACTGCCAGGGTGGGAGGCCTCGACCTCACCAGTCCTCTGTCAAGCTCCAGCGTCAACCATAACACTTCCCAGTCTTCCGCCAGCAGCCCCACATCTGCAACCACCCCCCTAGCCCTGACACCTCAGACCCCAACTCCGACCACCTCCTCTCCTCCTCCTCCTCCTCCCTCTTCCACCTCTCCCCCACCGAACAACAACTCAAAGCCACCACAGGAACAAGGTCCTACCATTCCCACATCCCCAGACCAGAGTCCCTGCTCACCTGCAGAGGGGGAGGATGTTCCAAAGATCGACCCCTTCGGTGGAAAACTGAGACGGAGCATCCGCAGATGTATGTTCCCACACAAATACAGTGCAAAAAATATGTATACTTACCGTGGTATCGCTGTGTACTACTGACAATCCCTAGAGTACATCTATAGCTAAATGAGAGGTTATCCCAATTAATAGCACATTTTAGAATGTGAGCGGTAAATTCACACATCTCTGTCAACTGTTCTTTTAATGCATACAGTTATTAATGTGGTTACAGAGATACAGATGTACAATTCTCAATGTTGTAACATAAAGATGATTTTAAGTGGTCTATAACAGCTTAATTGTGAAACACTCCTGACAAGTTTGCAATGACGCACTAACCATCTGTAGGATGTGCTCTATCCTCAGCTGGGTGTGTGTAAGCTTGAGTCAGCTAAGTTGCCTTCCCTTTGCACAAGTTCAGATCTTCTAACAGTTCTGTTAAACATCCCTCTGTGAAGGGAAAGTGAGTGTCAGGGCATATGAAGCAGCACAGCAAGGAAAAGCTGCTGTGAGTCCATCATTAGCATGTGCGCACACATACAATGTGTGTGTGGGCGTAAGTGTGTGTGCATGAGCGTGCTTGGCAGCAGCTAACAGCTCACCAGGAGACAGAGAGCCAAAAGCACTTTCTGAGCATATGTCGAATAGCCATTAGGTGAAATAGGAAATGTCTATCTAATCCAAATGGAATACATTAAAATAAAACAACATTTGTTTCCAAAGCAAAACACCAGGATGCGATACTAGTAATAAGAGCATCTACAGTATTTACTTGACATAGTGGAAATATACACATGGGAGACAAATGACAGGAATAATCTGATCAAATGAGCAAAGAAATGTTATATGCAGATGCTTACATACTGGGAACAAGGGGTTACTGAATGGTTTAATAAGTGTAAAACAAAGGGTACAGGGTTATCTGCACACCTTTAAGTGAAAATACGTTTTTATACCTGTGAAAGGAAAGAATGTTACCAGCACTTTGGCAAAAGAAAAGAAAAAACCGCACGACAACTTACACTGTTAATGAGTTTTATTGAATTTCAACAAATAAAATAACTGTATAACTAACATAACTATAAGAACAGTTCTTAATCTAACTGGTGTGCCTGAAGACGAACTTCATTTGCCAAAACACATATCTTCTCTAGCATTTAACTCCAACTAGCAGTAGCAACGAGCAACTTGTTATGCATAGTACTTTTCAAATGCCAGCATGCAGCGTTTGTGCCTTTCAGATTTCTTGTGAAATTCCAGTGTTTTACAAGCATTTTTCCCAAATTTGAAAGTTTTTCCATTCCTCAAATATGAGTTGCTGTGTGGTTTCAGCCACCACAATATGTGATCACCAATCACTTTGCATTACATTAGCGTTGAAATAGCCACAGATGAACCTGCATTGTTTGCTTACAGCCACAGGTGCTTTTCTACTGCAACCCTCAAATTGAAAACTGTTATCAACACCCTGTTCATGTGGGTCAAAGTGAGGCTCACTGCAACACAAGATTTATGATTGCCACCTAGCAGTGTTCACTTAATATTTATGTACAACAAATAGGTGTTGGCTGGTGCAGAAATGTTTCTTATTGTGAGATTTAAAATACTAGTAAAAAAAAAACTTTAACGATATACAAACCCACTGGCTGTAGGCTACTGACTGATTTCTGCATGGCTTTGAACTTATGCGCAATACATTACTTTCCAGTAGGGCAGACAGAGTACCATCACCATCATCATCCTAATCAGCCTTGTGTCTCCCCTGCCCTCCTCTCTAGCTGTGCTGGAGTCGGTGTCGCTGGAGAAAATCATCCCAGAGTCTCCCCAGAGCAGTGAAGCAGGAGACATGTCTCCAAGCCGCTCCCCTTCCACACCTCGACACCTGCGCTACAGACAGCCTGGAGGTGTGTGTGTGTGTGTGTGTGTGTGTGTGTGTGTGTGTGTGTGTGTGTGTGTGTGTGTGTGTGTGTGTGTGTGTGTGTGTGTGTGTGTGTGTGTGTGTGTGTGTGTGTGTGTGTGTGTGTGTGTGTTAGTGTGTGTTTGTGTGGCGTAATAGAGATCCAACAGGTGGGTAATTGTCCTGACGAGACAAAAAGTCCCATTAGCCCTCTGTCAAAAAGAAAAGTAGCTCAGACCACGCTCGTTGCTGATCGTTGCTGATACAGATCTGTGAGTGTGGTGTGTGTGTGTGTGTGTGTGTGTGTGTGTGTGTGTGTGTGTGTACACACACACACACACACACACACACACACACACACACACACACCACACTCACAGATCTGTATCAGCAACGATCAGCAACGAGCGTGGTCTGAGCTACTTTTNGAAAAAGAGAAATCCTCAACAAGGCGTTCTGGGACAGCATTGACAGGTATTTTCTGTGTTAGAGTTTTACTCGCTACAGGGTGTACTTTGAGGGTTTGTGACTTTGAAGACCGTTTACATGCAGAAAAACCTTCATAACACACAAGGGGACGAGTAAAAACTGGAAAAGCATGACATGGGACCTTTAAGTAAAGACATTGGTCTAATAAACGCTGTGGAGAAGTCAAGAACTGAACTAGGTGAGCATTGCAATAGTGTTGGAGGAGAATCTTGCATTGTCATCTAGCCAAATGAAATGTTTTGGGAAACTACAAAACACACATTTGTTTCCATCAATTATTTAAAAGTTGGCTGTGTTTGTTATTGTTTTAGCTGGGGTATAATTCCATAAACTGACCATTTGGATACGTTTTATTTGGCCCCAAAAGTCTAAGATATCTTTTGTGTCTAGGGCACATAAGAAATACATAAAATGGGGATACATTAAGACTTTTTATCTGTTTTCATAGATACAGTAAGTATACTGTATATGTTGTTTTAAAGATAAATACACATTTGCAACCGTAAAAACATAATGTAGAGTTTAATTAAACGTAATCCCCCATACCTTACACAACCAGCAGTAAAGGAAACATGGTGATGTCCATATCTAGTAGGTCAATATCTAAAGTAAAACCTGTGGTGATTAACTGGTCTTGTAATTATAAGCAGTATCCAAAGCTGATTTAGTTTAGTTTGGCCTGATGCAGATGAGTGTGAGATTTATGAGAGAACTGACTCATAAGGAATGCTTCTGAAGACGATGTGATCCAGAAGAGTGATCTGCTCTGCCAGCTCCATCGCTGAGAGAGACTCGAAACACTCTGCCTTCGGACAGTCGGCCTAAACACACAAGCACACACACACATAAACACAAACACACCGCACAAATGAATTTCTACACCAGATAACAAGGAGTTATAAATATCTAATAAAGAGACAGGCTTTGATGATGACAGTTGACAGTTCCCTGGAGACCGTCACAGTCATACAATGATGGGTACTAGGCAATGCTTTTCACATCTTCCAAAATAAATGTGTGTGGGTGTGTGCTTGTGTGTATGTGTATGTGTGTGTGTGTGTGTGTGTGTGTGTGTGTGTGTGTGTGTGTGTGTGTGTGTGTGTGTGTGTGTGTGTGTGTGTGTGTGTGTGTGTGTGATTTCCTGTCTTGATTAAGCCAATGTCATAAACCAGAGGCACTCATGACTCCTGATTATTTTTTTATCTCTGGGAGTTTATAAAGTATTTATTGAAAATCTGCAAGTACTTTATTTCATCCCAGAGAGGATCACATTGTATTCAAATAAAACAATTAGATTTTTGTATTTATCTTGGGGGGGAAATAAAAGCTGCTGACTCAGCTGGTCTGTGTTACATTATGCAGTAAAAGTCTGCAGTTTACAGATGCTGCATTGATCCAGCAGAATAATATCATATCCGAATTATCATGAAGTCCTGACAAGTTTGCAATGACGCACTAACCATCTGTAGGATGTCCTCTATCCTCAGCTGGGCATCGTCCTGCTCATCGAGAGAAAGGGCACTAGAAGACAAAGTGGAATAGAGTAAAATTCTACTGAATAGTATAGGAATTTAATTTAATTGAACAGAATAGATTGGAATAGAACAGAATACAACGGAACAGAAAATAAACTTTCATATAACGGAAATGAATGAAAGAGAATAAAATAGAACAGTATACAATACAGAGCAATGTAGCAGTATTGAAAACATCTAATATAATAGGACAGAGCAGAATATAGCAGAACAGAATACAACAGAAGATTGAACAGAATAGAACAGAATAGAGTACAGTAGAGCATTGCATAATAAAATAAGGGAATGTTTTCATGCTAATTTATTACATAAGACTATTTTATCGAGGGACATTTTAAGTGCTTCATACGCATGCTGCATGCTTGTACCTCAGTATGTTGGCAGTAGCTTTTCTCTCCTGAGGCAGAAGGTCAGGATCTCTGAGCACCTCCTCCAGGAGACAGATCACAGACATCTTCAGCTCCCCGTTCATCTCAAAGTCCTAAACAAAAAACAAAACAAAATGTTATTGCTCAAATGAACCTGAGGAACATGCTAAGGATTCTCCAGCACCCATCAACTAGCACAGTAACATTAAATGTTCTCACTTGCTAATTATTTTCTTCTTGGTCTAAATTGTTCTTTTTCTTCAAACTTTGTTGAAATCTTAGGTTAACATGTTGTAGTGATTTACATTTAGAATAGTTGACCTAATTTAATTGATAGTAATTATATACATACTGTAGTAGAGCTTGAATTTTCATTTTATCTAACATTTTTCGCATTGCCATAGTTTAGTAATTGTTAAGGTTTCGGGACTGATGCACAAAATACAGAGAAGGGAATGTATTATACTTATATTACTGTTGTGTCGTCCAACTGTTGTTTGGGTGATTAAAGTAGGTTTTATCCCAAAGGTAGTTGTAATGCATTGAGAGAGAAAACTTTCGTGTTACAATCTGAAAAACGTAGAATGCATTTGTAAAATAGCAATATGTCTCTCTTGCACTAATCCATCCAATCTAAAGACTGATAAATTAAGCTGACAAGGCACTGATGCAAAGATATCTTTTAAATGTATCCTGTAAATCTCTTTTAGCCACATCGTCCTAATGGCCTATTACACTCACTCGCAGTATCAAATGTATGGTGACATGTCTGCATGTGAAAAATGTTTGTAGTTGTATGTGTGTACTTACTTATTTCTAGTCTCCACCTATTTGTTTGAGCAATCATCAATCACTGCTCTACAATCCTTTATGTCTGCTGACTGTACATCCTCCTCCTGTACCCCCTCATTCCTTCCAGCCATTACTGCTTCTTTTCCTCTCGTTTCCCTTTCACTCCCTCCCCAATTCAACTCCCGTTCAAAGGTCAGTTTTAACAAGCTCTTTGGCCTCCCGAGCTCAAATGTGAGTGGGTGTATATGTGTGCGTGTTTGTCCTTTGTCTCTGTGTTAATAAGCCGACTAAAGCTGGCCTGTCATCACGGCATTTTGTGCTATTGAAGAAAATACATAAAACAGATCGATTCAGTTGGACTTCTGGGGGGGGAGTAAGGCAATTACTGTGATGTTCACTTCAATAGAGGCAACACTGGCTGTTTAGCAGAAGAGTAGGTGGACTGAGGCGAGTTGAGATGGTTCTACAGTTGACACGACAACAACGTTGAGCGTGTATTTGTGTGCATATGGTTGTTTATATGCTCAAGAGAGGGCACTGGAGCAGAGAGAACGCATCAGACGTCTGCTTTAACGAGACCACAGATTTGACCACCTCAGCAAAAACAGGGGACCAAACACACACACACACACACATGCTCAGACTGACCTGTGAGTGTTTGGACACCCAGTGCCGCAGCACGTTGAGAACTCTGTTAGTTGCAGCTCGGCGGATGATAAACTCTTTATCACAAGTTCTCTCAGAGTTATTAAACACTGTAGAAAAAAAGAAGGAAAAAGAGAGACGGATAGAATGAGTTATTACTGTGTTGATGTATACATCTTTCACTAATGACCTGGGGCTTATCTCTATTTTCCAACTAAATAAAATAGGTCAGTGGTAAAAAACGTATAAAAGTTCAATTATAGCACTCGAAAAATCCTTTAATATAAATATTTTAAACGTTTACAGAAGTAACAAAAAATTGCAGCAAAATGTACCTAAATATGAAATGTAATAGTGTTTTAATGTGTCAAGGATTATTGTGATTCTAAAGGGTTATTTCACACTTATTGGATAATCCACAGAGAGAGAAGGGGTTTCTAACAATGATTTCTTTAATATATAGATTTCATCTCCGTTTTGCTATTTGGTTGATCAATCTATTAACATTTAATATGCCTCTATTTTGTGATGTTTTGCTAACACATTCTATGAAAAAGTAAAGAACTTCTGTACTTTAACTTTCTTTTCTTGGCCTTTTGCTGTTTTTACAGTCATTGTAGGTCAAATGTCATTCCCAAGAAACTGCGAAAATACAGAGGCCGCCAGATTTAACAGTTGAGCTATTTATGGATTTGAGTCCTCTTTTAAAACCAGTTAAGCCCCAGTACCGGGGACAAAATGCAACATCTTGCAAGAAACAGCGTCTGAGGCCTTCTTAACATTTAACAAACTATGAATGTGTCATACCCACTTAACGGGAAGAAACTCAGCTATCAGACAATATTAACATTTTTTAGAGCTAAACGAAACACCCAAGGGTATATCAAGCCCGTCTGATTAGCCCCTGAGCGAAAAAATGCTAACGGCACTTAGCACACGACTCACCGGTATAAATACTTAATTCGTTACCAGATCTGCCCAAAACAAGATATCCAGATTAAAGCTGAGATTCCACAGGATTCTAGAGGTATAAGTATCATCACTGTCGCGACCAAAAGCTCAGCGGCGGCGGAGGAACCCAGACCACACACACGGGTATAGCTTTAACAGAGCCAAAACGGCAAATATGTTTGTACCTTTCGCTGTTTTTTTGATCAAAAGTGTTGCTTCAATGGCAATTTAAAACGATAACAACTTGCTGCAAGTTAATCCATTGGTTAGTCCAATGTCTCGTGTCACTTTTGGAAATGATTCCGATAATCCATCTCATATTTATGGGCTATAACCTAGTTTCCGTTTTCAGGGTTTTCAGAGCGTAACCTTAGCTTTGGTTTGGGCAAGCTGCGTGCGTATCACTCGTCCATTCGCTCAATGGGTAACGTGTAGGTGGATTTAGAGACTTCCCTCTCGAGTGTCCTATTGGCTCTAAGGTTCAAAAAGATGGTGTGTCCAATCACCAAAATCGACCGTGGGGGCAGAGATATGGGCAAATCCCACCCTAATACCCCATAAGCGTGTTTTTGTTGCTAAACCTCTCTAAAAGGTCAAATGTCACTTGTTTTGCCTCGATTCTTGATACAGGCGGTACTTGGTATATGTGTTATAGTTTGGATTCCTAACAGCTTTTAGTAGTCACTATCCCATCACTTCAAGGGTGGTTTCTCACTATAATTAATGTTTTTCTCTTTTTGGACGGGACACTATAATTACATTTTTTCTATTGTTTCAATCTTGAATCTTGACTTTAAATAAAAGTAAATTCTATATTGATCTGACTTTTCTACATCCAACTCACGAGGTTTATCATTGGCTTTGAGAAAAAAAGATTATTAATTTACCCTTTTAGAAGGGAAGATATGGTCCTTTGTTCCTGGGAAAACAGGCTTGGGGCTTAACTTAGGTAGACTTCTAAAACCTTGCAACCTATACATTTTACAGGTCAGGTAAATGCTATCCGATACAATATTACAACTATTATAAACTGTCACCAGAAACCAACATATATGTGTCTTATTTTGAGAGGCGCCATTTGGAACATTATATTTCTTTATTTACATTTGGTGTTTGTGTGTGGTGTGTGTGTGTGTGGTGTGTCCGTGTGTGGTGCTGTGTGTGTGGTGTGTGTGTGTGTGTGTGTGTGTGTGTGTGTGACAAAATGTGTGTGAAGCGTGCTTGAACCACAACCAGATGTGATCAGATGTGGTGTNGTAAACGGTCTTCAAAGTCACAAACCCTCAAAGTACACCCTGTAGCGAGTAAAACTCTAACACAGAAAAGACCTGTCTATGCTGCCCCAGAACGCCTCGTTCAAGATTTCTCTTTTTCCATAGTTTTCTTCCTGGGTACAGTGACCATACCCAAATGAACCCATTGGTCCAAATGGACCAATCCGTGGAGTTCCACACACACACCCCCCCCAGTGACGCACT